CGTTTCGGTTTGAAGGGTGGGGCAGCCGTTGCAATTATACTTGAGACCTTAGAACTTATATCTCAAGGTGGGTGGCGCATCTACGTTGTGGATGTCTACGGGCGCCAGTAACCACTTAACACCAGGTGGGCTATGAGCTCATCCACCCAACTAAGCAATAAAAAAAAACTTGACTTCATCATCATTAGCCTGTATCTCTCCACTGCTGGATGTAGGCCTCTCCCATAGTCCGCCACAATGAACGATCCTCCGCCTTTCGCATCCAATCTCTCCCAACATATCGCCGCAAGTCATCGGTCCAACGGGCAGGGGGACGCCCAACGCTGCGCTTACCGTTACGCGGTCTCTAGTCCAGTGTGCACTGTGCTTAGTGCGAGTTTTGTAACGTTCTCGATAGCGAGCCAGTTTGCTCAAATTTGTATGCAATTGGAACAGCGCCCCCTAGCGGCAAACGTACCCGGTGTTATTGTGTGAGTGCGAGTTCATATTAACGTTGTGTTCCCGTAACCGAGTAATTTTACCGAAATGAGTACCACGAATGACATTTGTGCGAGTGCGTGTTACAAATTAGTGGATTTTAACGTTTCGATCGAGTATTTCTTTAGTAGTTCTATTTTTCCAACTAGAGAGGCAAAAGTATCATGCCATAGAGCCTAATCTTTTTTTATGAAAAATGATAATATGGAGTGAAATGGATTTGATTAATTTGAAACATTAATCAATTGGCATGGAATGAAATGAAATGAGATCAGATAATATGGGATAAAATATAATCCTCAGTAAAATAGTGATTATTTACTGAGATTTTTTCAGTGGACTTTTTCGAAGACTTCGAGAAGTTACGTCCAGCGGTTTGGTTTCATTTTTTTACATTTTTGCACTTTCACAGATACTAAACAGTTAATAAACCAAGGTTTTTTTTTGCATAGATGAGTGGACGAGCTCCTGGCCCACCTAATGTTAAGTGGTTACCGGAGACCATAGACATCTACAACGCAAATGCCGCCTCCCACCTTGAGATATTAGTTCTAAGATCTCAGTATAGTTACAACGGTTGTCCCACCCTTCAAACCGAAACGCATTACTGCTTCACGGCAAAAATAGGCAGGGTGGTGATACCTACCCGTGTCGACTCACAAGACGTCCTACCACCAGTAATTACGCAAATTAATTTTGCGGGTTTGATTTTTATTACACGATGCTATTCCTTTACAGTGAAATTCAATCATAAACATTAGATAAGTAGGTACGTATTTCATTAGAAAAATTAATACCCGCCGGCGGGATTAAGACGCCGGTGCATCGCAAGATACGAATACACCGGACGCCTTAAATTTTAGGCCAGGATGATCTCAAAATTACACTTATACCCGAAGAAATATTAACTACGCATTAACTAAGAAACATTAAATAGACAAAATAAAACAAATAGTTGTTCAATTGTAAATGAATAAATCAAAATCAAATCGAGTTTACGTTCTATACGGTGAAAAATGAAGAATTGAGTGAGTGTCGTTTATTCACCGAGAGCAGCAATAATATGATTTCTCGTATATTGGTAGCACGTGGTGTTTTGGCATTAGACCGTCTAAATGAAATACAACGCATTTTAACAGTATTTTAATGGGAACATACTACTTTCAAAATTATTCGGGTAATGTCACGTGTTCAATACTATTTTGTACCTTTAGAATTAAAGTGGCTCAACCCAAAATTCTTATTTTCTGGTAAACTTCAATATTGTAATACAATAATTGTATTTTTTTAGTTTTTCGCTTTAAACACTTTAAGGCATGCATTTTATTTGAAAAAGACAGAAAGAGTACTTTGTCCTTGTAAAAGAGACTGTTTAATTTTATAAGCTGATAAAATAATATAGAAAAGAATAATAGGATACCCTCTAATCGTCATATTAGAAAAAGGTATGGCTTTATCATTTTATCATTTAAATTATTTTTTATTGCACTTATAAAACTAATTTAATTTACATAACTATATTAATCCGTACTTGTCAAAATCCTCATAAATTGTCAATATTCTTAATAAAATTCCTATTAGTAATATACAAGTGCAAATGTTGAACTGCTTGCCAGAAATGATATAATAGTGCTTTGTGTTTTTGTTGTTTCCTTGTAGGCTGCCTGTAATAATCTAAATCTGTGTGAAAGGCAATAAATGATTTTATTATTATCTACTAATGGTAGTCCAATGGTCGAATTTCGACCACAGTTTATTTAAATTTTAAGTTTGAACATTATTATAGTTCTATTGTCACCTTTCTATTATCATCATTTCTATAATAATCATTGCT